TTTAATTCTCCAGCGCCAGCAGCAAGATCGATATCGATCCTCATCTGTTCAGCCGCGTTGTAAAGTAATCTCATATTATAAAGTAGAGTGCTTCTCCCTGTACTCCAATTTTGCACTAGAACTGTGAGAATAACAAACAGTAACAAGATCTGGCCTCTCGATCAATTGAGTCAACGTCCGAATACGCGTGGGCTTACACAATATTCAGAGCCATGCAAGTTTGAGCACAAGAATTGCTGCATTGTGATACATACCTGTTATGACTGATTCCAAAAAATAAGAAAAAAACGTGTCACCTCAACAATCTGTTGATGATTTCACCAACTGGCAGTACTGGGTTCGTCGCGATGAAGTCGTGATCGGCGCATCCTCAGCCGCAGCGCTAGGTCTTTCGCATGCTGCAGTAGCGGGGAACCATGCTACTCCAGAGCCAGTGGCAGAGCAAAGCAATGCCCACTGTACTTTAGCAAGGTGTTCGAAGATGCATTCCCCCGTGCTTGTTAGCCACTGTTGAGCTGACGGTCGCGCACGGCCCCCTGGAAAAGTGATTTAGAGCCTCATGCGGGGCAATTGGTGTGACGGGAGTGGGGGGGGGGTTAACAAACGCGTGTACTGTGCGCTCATGAATCGATGCTATCGATTGCTCGAGTAGATTGGAGGCCTTGCAGGGGAGCTAACTTTCAAGCTTCATGAGTCGAACGATGGCGAATGACTGACTGTGCCGTGCATATACGAGCTTGGAGTGGGTTGATGCGGAGAGGGCCCCGCCGACGAAGCTGCGAGCTTGTTTGGCGCACGAGCCGACGGTGACGGAGGTGACTGAGGGGGGTTAGAACGTTAGAAACCACAAAGCATATAAAGGCTTCAGTGCTTCCCCACTATTTAGAACCTCCAGTCGATATCCCCCCCCACACACTCACCCCACCACTTAAACCCTGCCCGCACTGCACCACTTTCTCAATTGCTCTCCCTTTCATCCATCCTCCCCCCTCTCGCACTCGAGCCGTAATAAGCCATGAGCAGCTGCTCCAAGCACGGCGAGGACTGCTGTCCCCCAAAGAAGACCGCAGATAAGGACGCTGACCAGCTCTACCCTCCTCCCGGCTACAACGAAAGCGTCTCTGATGATTCCACTGTCATCCCCACTCCCAGTGCTAGCACTGTCAGTGACGATGCCTCCGAGAAGGACAAGTCCGTTGTAGAAGAGGTTGTTGCCGAGGCTTCTGGTAAGCCAGAGGAGGAAGAGAAGAAGAAGGACAAGAAAGACAAGGGAGAGAAGAAAGATAAGAAGGATAAGAAGGAGAAGGGAGACAAGAAGGACAAGAAGGACAAGAAGGAGAAGAAAGACAAGAAGGAGAAGAAGGACGACAAGGAAGATGATGGTGATGAGGCGGACAAGGAGGGAGAGGACGAGGAGAAAAAGGACAAGAAAGACAAAAAGAAGGACAAGAAGGGCAAGAAGGGTAAGAAGGCTAAGAAGAACAAGAAGAAGGGCAAGAAGTCCGGCTCTGGTTCCGACTCTGGCTCAGACTCGTCTTCCAGCTCCTCATCTTCCTCCTCGTCATCTAGCTCTTCATCTTCCTCCTCCTCCTCTTCCTCATCATCCTCATCATCCTCCTCCTCATCCTCCTCCGGTTCTGACTCGGACGCTGGATCCGGATCTGGATCCGATGGAAAGAAGAAGAAGAACAAGAAGGACAAGAAGGACAAGAAGAAGAAGAACATGGAGGCCACCCTCATCAACCTCGTCACCCGTTATGATCGCAATACCGGCATGATCTCCACCACTGCCGCCTCCACCACAACCAACCCCTCTGGTAACTTGGAGGATGAGTTCGCCAACTACGCCCTCACCTTGACCACCGTCTTCAACTACAGCAACCAGATTTCACGGAAAATCCTGGAGATCAAGGCACCAGTTCTCAAGCAGGTCTGCAAGGACATCATCGGAGATAAATACACCGGTGTCAGCTTCAAGACCGATAAGGTGGCCATGAACTGCCCTCCCAAGGTTCTCTTCTTCTACTACAAGGAGTTTGAGGCCGAGAGAGTAAAGTGGAAGAAGAGGCTTCTCGAGCTAAGGAAGCTCCCAGTTGAGGAGCAGCCTAAAGAGGAGAAGAAGGACAAGAAGAAGGACAAGAAGAAAGACAAGAAGGACAAGAAGAAGGACAAGAAGGACGACGCAGAGAAGGAAGAGAAGGGAGAAAAACTCGAAGGGGAGAAGGCCGAAGAGAAGTCTGAGGAGAAGTCTGCGGCGGTAACCCTAGTAACCCTAGAGTCCACATCTGAGGAGAAGCCCGAAGACAAGTCCGAGGAGAAGCCAGAGAAGGAGGAGAAGCCAGAGAAGGAGGAGAAGGAGGAGAAAGAGGAGAAGAAGGACAAGAAGGACAAGAAGGACAAGAAGGACAAGAAGAAGGACAAGAGCGAGAAGAAGGACAAGGGTGACAAGAAGGACAAGAAGGACAAGAAGAAGGACAAGAAGAAGGATGGCGAGAAGATCCACGAGCTCGACGATTCTTCCATTGAGGATGCTCTTCTCGTCCCCGACGAGGTCAAGAACCCCAAGCCCAAGCTGCTCGAGGAGAAGTCCATCCCCGAGTTGGTCGAGGACATCAGATACCTCACCCTCTTCATCCGTTTCATCAAGACCGAACTTCGCGATGAAATCACCAACTTCAACTCCCTCACCCCCCAAGGTCTCATCACATATGACCTCCTGTGGACCATTTTCCCTCCACAGTCTTTGATTCTCGTCCACACCCACAGCAACGAGAAGGCGCTTCTCCGTCTTGTTCGTGGCGTTGAAGTCGACGAAGGATGTGATCCTGGTTACCACTTGGATGCTTTCCAGGTTGACCACGACGGTTATACCTTTGGTTACATTGGTAGCGGTGCACACATTCCTCCCTTCGAGGGAACCCTCGCAATCACCGACCTTCCAGTCGTTCCTTTGAATTACATCCCAGACAAGGAGGCTTTGGTTGCGGATCTCGTTGAGCGAGGCCGAAAGAGCGAGAAGCTCCAGGCTCATGGCCCATCATACCAGAGCTACAAGGGTCTTGCGCTCGGGCCAATCCTCAACCGCAGACGAACCTACTTCTCCATCAATGGCCGCGTCATGGTTGATCCCGCCACCTTTGCTCGTGTCAACACCGATAGGGCAATCTCCGTCACCTCCCTTCATGCTGCCAAACAATTCCTCGCAGCAGAAAACAACGATCCATACAGGAGCGATGAGAGGGATATGTATGACGACGGCCATAACGGACTTATGCTTGCGGCAGAGACTCGCCACTTCTCTCACGAGACTGAGGAGCGAGTTCAAGCCAAGGGCAGATTCTATCGCCCACTCACTGACGAAGAGGCAAGCTTGGTCACACCCTTCGTGAGAGGCTTCGCACTCGCAGAGAAGAAGTGGGCTGAGTTTGCGGTCCGGACATTGGCTGAGGTGCAATGGGTTGACGATGCCTTCAGCAAGCTCGTTCTCCCAGCCGCCCAGAAGGAGTTGATTCTCAGCTTGGTCGAGGCTCCTGAGGTTGCCGAGCACGCAAAGGCCATCCAAGGAAAGGTGGATGCTGCGGATGAGGATGACGACAAGGAAGCCGTTGGAAAGTATCGCTTCGACGACTTTATCCCATCCAAGGGTCTTGGTCTCGTCGCTGTTCTCCACGGACCTCCCGGTGTCGGAAAGACTCTCACTGCAGAGTCCGTCGCAGAGTACACCCGTCGCCCACTCTACTCTGTCACCTCTGGTGAACTCGGAACCAACCCCGTCGATCTCGAATCTACCCTCGCTGTCATCCTCGACGTTGCCGGTGCCTGGGACGCAATTCTCCTCATTGACGAGGCAGATATCTTCCTTGAGGCTCGTGGAAGCGGCGGCGAAGGCGGAACCATCAAGCGAAATGCCATGGTTGGCATCTTCCTCAGACTGCTCGAGTACTTCAAGGGAGTCATGTTCCTCACCACCAACCGTGTGGAGAAGTTCGACCCTGCCTTCAAGAGCAGAATCCACTTGGCCCTCAAGTACGACACCCTCACGCTCGACGCTCGCGAGGAGGTCTGGTCCAATTTTGTCGGAAAGGTGCCAGCCGAGCTCGTGGAGGAGTCTCTCCTCGGTGGCGATGAGCCTGGTGTGACGGCCTTGGCCAAGTCGTGGGAGAAGGTCAATGGTCGTGAGATCAAGAACGCGGTCAAGACTGGGTTGAGGATCGCGGGTAGACGAAAGGTCAGATTGTCCGAGGACATTTTGGCTGGTGTCCTTGCTTTGGGCGCGGAGTTTGATGCCCAGATGAATGCCAGTGGTACCATCTACTAAGTATCGATTTAGTGATCATGAGTCTTGATTTTCGGGTAATACCTCTCTGTTCTTTTCCTTCCTCGTTTCCTTTCTTTTCTGTTTTTTTTTATATTGTAGGGCATTGCGATGATCTTTCTTCTTTTTTCCTTTTCGAGGACTTTGATGATGGAAAATATGGGAATGGGATGGGAATGGAATAGGGAAATATGTGGGATATGGTGGGAATTTTTGCTGGCTTTCTTTCTTTCAATCTTAGCGTTTTCTTTTATAAGCTTTTCGATATTCTGGAAGTTCAAGAAGTAGAGTCGGTCATTCTTAAATATAACGTCTACTTTACTCGCAAAATTAATAAGTCTCCGGACAATGCACCGACAGTGCAGAGGCAGTGCCTCACTCAGGTGTCCGGACACTAATTGATTTCCTCCGTAGGAGGGGCTGGGCACGAGACTAATTGATTTGACGAGCACACACTCATGGTTGTTCTCAAGCCCAGACTTGGTCGTTCCACTCATGGTACATACATTCTCAATCAATCAATCAATCGTCCCTCACTCGTTACCTCCCAGATGAAATTTAGGTACCTATGATTCCAGGTATATAATTTTCGCATAAGAAAATCTTCAAAGAGTTGCTTAGGAGGTGTTGTGCCAAATTTGCATCTGTCCATAAGTTGTGGTGGACTTCTATTGCCAATCAAATAGCCCGGTTGGCTCAGTCGGTAGAGCGTGTGACTCTTAATAACATACCCTTCGGGGTGTTTGTTAGGTGATCTCAAGGTCGCGAGTTCGAGCCTCGCATTGGGCTTCCTTTTTGTCGTTTCCTTTTTTTTTATGTATTTCCGGTTTGTGCTACTAAGACCTCTACTGCTTGTACTCCTACGTATACAACCTTTGAGCTTATACAGTGCTTGAATTGTTGCCTATGAAAACGAACGGGGGGCATTGTTGCCTATGAAAACGAACGGGGGGCTTGAGATTTATGGGAAAAATATATTACCCTGATACAGGCACCTTGTCCGTGTTTCTCGTCCTTGCCTGTGAGCCACGGTATCGGACAACGTGCACCTTTTGCTCACTTTACGTCTCTCAATCTCTCAATCTTGCATTGAATTGACATATTGTATTTAAACCAAGTAGGTACCTAAGCTTTCCGCATTGCCCCAAGGCCCAAGGTCGCTATAGGTACCTTAGGTATGGAATTAAAGCATTAAATGTGCTCTCGACATGCATAATCATGATCATGAAATAAAATAAATGAATAAAAAATGTGAAAATCCCCAAAATGGATCTCAGAATCCCAGACTCCAATTCCATCCGCAAATAAGCCGTCTCAAATTATACAAGAGGAGATATATTCCGACGCCATAAAAAATCCAATCATTTTAAAAACGAAAAACAATGCTAATATTGTAATGTGGTTTGTTGTTGTAGTTCTAGTTGTAGTATAAGAAAATATTTGATATGATCATGGTCATGATAAGTATGTATGTATGTGATCCAAGAGATATGGTTGTTTCATTCCGGTTTCCCTGCTGAGAATACTGCCGCCAACTCGCCTCGTTCATGCGCGGTGAGTTGTAATATGTAGCACGTGGTGGGCAGATCATACTCCTGTCTATGATCTACGAGTCTCGGGAATATGCACATATAGCTCCCGATTGTGCCACATACGTGTGATTTGGTTGTTGTTGTTGTGATGACGATAAATTTCGTAGGGAAGATTGTTTGTGACCTTCCTAGCAGAGACGCAAGCTGTTGCAGTGGCAAGTGATCGCTTGCGAGTCGGTGACTGAGAGGAAGCATCAGTCACTCTTCGCTTTGGATCCTTCTCGCTTTGATGCCGTTGATCTCGCTGTATCCTTCTGGCGGTGATGGTGGGAGACTAATGCCTGCTGGTAGGCGAGCATCAGGACGTTGGGTATGGCACGAGACCATTGGGTACGAGTAGAAGGTACTTCCTAACAAGGTAGGATGTAGGTTCTGGTCTGGTCTGGCCTTGGCGCCATTGGGATTACCTGGTACCTGGTTGGCTCATTTCCAGACCAACTCTTTGCCCTCTTGAAGAGCTGAAAGCGATATTGTTCGACCGTGATATTTTCCGATATCGCCAGTCCAACCCTATATCTCCTCCAACAAATTATCACAGTCGACGTCCATCTCTTCGTCAAGACAATCGACCTCCAAGTTCAAATCTGTCCTCCCCCACGCATCACACATGATGACATCGTTGTCGGTGTCGACTTCCCATGTGGTGCACGCCTGTTTATGATTCGGCAAGGCCCGTGTTGACCGCCTCCATGTGAAGGGCTGATAGATCTTTTTTGTGATCTTTGATCTGGAGACGGGGAGGTTTGATTTGCATTTATGGAGGGTGGGGAGGAGGTGTGGTTGCGTTGGCGGTGTTGGTGGAGTTACCGATGGCGGTGTTTTCCTGCACCGTCTCAGGAAACTCGGTATCGCCGCCTTGTTCTTTTGTATCGTTAGCGGGGCTAACGTGGTTGATTCTGGTGCTGTGGTAACTGTTGATGTTGCTTCCTTGACAGCTACCGAGGAGGGTTTATATCTATAACTATACGTCCTCCCTTGTCGCCTCTTGAACTCTGGCAACACCTTCTCGAGAAAGAAGTCCTCCATGTATGAGAACACGTTTCTCTTCGTCTTCTTCTTCTCTTGTTCCGTATGGTACTCTGCGTGTACGACCGTACTACCATTTGTTGTTGCTGATTGTGATGGCTGCGATAGTGGTGAAAGTGGTGGTGTGTTTGACCCACCAGCACCAAGCGAGTTCGCGGTGGTGGTCGAAATAGAGAGAGATGGTTTCATCGGAAACATCGTTTCGAGCTGAGATGTCGATTTGGTCACCGTTACTGTTTTCTCTAAGCCGATATCGATGGCCTTTGTTATAGAGGTGGTAGTGGTTGTAAAGGTTGGGGAGAAGGCTGTGAGAAGGAAATCTGAGATGGGCGCCATGGCGGACGCGGAGGCGCCATTCGTACCACCACCATAATTAATGACGAGGCTTAAGGGTTCATCCAGGGCGTACACGTCCATGGAATCCACCTTTGTGGTTGTACCGGTGGTACTGGTGGTTGTGTGTCCGCTAGCGCTATATATATATCTGGTAATGTGGTGATACAACGACGTCGGCGGCGAGGAGTATGGGAGATGGGAATCATGGAATTGATATCCTGAGTTGCCTGCGGCCGCGGGGGTGGAGATACTGATGCTGTCACTGCCAATCCTTCCATGGAGGAAAGCTTGCGCTAGGGATGTGTGCGATAACGATCCTTGGAAAGAGGTCTGTTGTGAACGATTGTGGAATGATGGTGAGGAGGAGGAGGAATATGTGGTGGTACAGATCTCGTATAGAGGCGTGTTAAAGTTTCCAGAGGTGGGTACATTGAAAAAAAGCAATGGATTGGAGGTGGCGAGCACGAAAGGATCTCCAATATGCCCTGGCCATGGTGGAAATTCCAAATTCGAATGTGAGATATGCGGAGGAGGGTGGGGAGGATGCAGAGGTCTCTGCGGAAGTTCGACGACATCCAGATGCCAATCTGTATTTTTGTCCATTGCCACCTCAGAGAGCTCCCTCCGAGCTGAGGAATGGCCAGGTGTGTATGGCGGGTGGTGGGATTGGCACGAGAACAGATGAGATGAGACTGATAATGGGGTGCTACACAACGCAATGCATTTTATAGACACCTCACATTTTTTAACTTTTAGCGGTGGGGCTGGAAATATTCTACCTAGTTAGGTATTCAGGCCACCCCATATTCTTCTTCTTCTTCTTCTTGTTGTTCAATGCTGATACCTAGATCTCAGGCAAGAGTAGTCTTATCACCAGATCCCCCCTAGAGAGAGGGGCAAGATTCATCGAAGAAGCCACCTAAGCAAGCAGGCTGATCTCGATGGATGATGATGTAATGTTTCCGTTCCTCTCAGATTCGACTTGGAATAGTCAGAGATGCCTGAGCTTTTCGTAGCCTGGATCACAACTCACCGTCGGAAGTAGTCTCGAGACTACGTCGGAAGGGGACTTGCTCTGTTCTGCAAGTTCAATCGTATAGTACTTCGATAGGGCGAGAATATTCGGAATATTGAGGAGGGGATGAATGGAGGCGAGACTGGTGTGGAGGGTATGCAAGGTATACGCCAAGAGGAGGAGAAGTGTACTGCTCGTCAAATTTATAGGCGATCCAAGACTAGTAGGCGGTTATAGCATCGACTACCTGATATGGTTAATGTCAATGATAAGCGAGAGAAAATACACCTACCTTTTTGGTGTTAGCTTGACCTTTCAAGTACAGGGTAATGGTCGTGCCGGTATTGGGATAAACAAGCAAGAGCGCTCTCGCTTAGAGATTTTGACCATATATTAAGGCATGCGATCACCTGGGGCGGATACGTCGTACAGTTGCTTCAGGTTCGCGAGTGCAGGAGGCCTTCGGCTAGCCTCGACTCGGGCGTTTCGGCGATCGGGCCAGTGTCTGTACAATAGCATCCATTTCCTCTAGATCTCCTTGTAGCATGTACTCGGTGTCTGCTTCCCACTGGAGTGCACCAGTGCCCGGGCCTCGTAGCGACTCAAGCTTTTAGAGGGCCGTACGGCGGTAGCCTCGTCCCCGTACGGCGGCTGTGCTGTTGACTTTCCGTATAGTCGTCGTCGGCGGGGTCTTTGACTTGCGAATTCGAGTAGAATCTATGTGGTGTCTGAACGACACGCTTGAGGCCTACCAACCATCATGAAGGTTAGTTGATGAGATGGCTTCAGCAGAGGGATCTTTACTTACCAACCTACCTAGGCACCTTGACTACCTTCAAATTTGGGGCACGAGACTTACAAATTTGGCTGATCATTGGTTGACGGCGTTGTAGTCTCGTTCCACGGCGTTGTGCACTCAGCGTACACTGAAGTGTACCTAATGCTGTTTGGGGGCACGAGGTTGTGTTCTGTGTTCTGTACGAGAACAGTGTTAGGACGAGAAAGTGTTGGGTGATATTTGTGGAATGAAGGAACCGAGCAAGGACGGACCCGAATTTATACCTACTTGAGTCACTTGAGCAAGTTCTGCGGGAATTTGGAGCCGGGCCCCGGGCCGAGCTTGAGTTGAAAAGACAAAACCCTCGAGAAAACATAGGTAGGTAATTATTCAAACATTCCTCAATGCTAGCCTCGCCCCCCTCAATGGTAAGTACCTATGGTAGTAGCCTCGTCCCCCCATGGTAGGCCTATTTCTGCTTGGTAGCCTCCCAGCCTAATGCGAAACCCCCAGAGAAATAATACACAAAACACCAACGAGCGAACCAACCTGAAGTAGAGATCGATTTTCTCACTGAGCATGCCAACATAACGCAGCAAGTGAATTCGCATGCATCACATTCGGTTGAATGGTGTAACGGTAGCACATAAGATTTTGAAAGAGATTTTCTTGTGACCTGGGTTCGACTCCCAGTTCGACCTCACTTTTTTTTTTTTTTGCAAATCCCCCCCTGCTGTACTCTCTTCAGCACGTTAAGTGTTGAATCGACAGGTGACTTGTGAGAACGTCATCTTATATGCCTCGTGTCTTAGGTAGCTAGACCCTACGTAGTCATCTCATGTAAATACATTCTCGAAGCCGAAATACCTAGCCTAGGCCGTCAATGCTAACGTTAACCAGAAACATTCATGATCATGTATGTTATGATTGCGAAAAATAAGAGATATGCAAAGCTTGAAGAGAAGAAAATTTAAAAACAGAAGTCATATCTACCTCATTATACTACTTTAGTATATCCTATAGTATCCATATCTCAAATGTGCAATCGCAGAACCATACCACATGCAAAACGTGCAACATGAAGACATGTACATAAATGAAAGGGAAATTTTAAAACAAAAAACAGATGCCTCCGCCCATGCCCACTGCTACTTCACCCCCTCTCCATCCCTTTTCAAACAACATCTGCACGAAAATATTCAATTGTAACCCCAACATCATCATCATCAAGCCCCCAACATCCCCCCCCTTACGGCCTCGCCCACCCCCGCGGCGAGAAATACTCCCTCACAAACCCACACCAAATCCCCACCCCCGCCACAACCCTACGAACTCTCCAGCGCCTATGTGCATCCCTATATCTTAAGCTCTCATCACCTGTACCCCTCGCCGGCACCCTCCTCTTCATGAAATTCCCCTCCATCCCGAGGTCCTGCGCAAACCGCGAGAGCTGCACGCTGAAGAGTATGGCGAAGGCCATGAGTGCGAGGAAGTGGAGGATGTAGATTGTGAAGGCGAGCCAGGCGAAGGCGATTGCGAGTTGGGGGAGTTTAGAGAGGAGGGGGGTGGGTGGTGAGTGAATGGAGGAGGGTGGGAGGGTGGTTGAGATTGCGGTTGCGGTTGAGGGATCCGGGAAGAGGATATGGAGGAATTCTAGGAATAGAGCCATTGTGTCGATTTCGATGTCGATAGCGGCTAGGCCTATATCTAGAGTTGTGTCAGTTTCTATGTTTCTTGGGGGAGGTTTCAATTATATAGGTTTGCAGTGCTATGTACGGAGCTAGATGGAGGACGTACTTGGGGATATCGATGTGGATTTGAATGTTTACCTGCAGCTATGTTGCACAAGTACAATTACCTAAAGGTAGGTACTTAAGATACTTTTCTTTTTTTTTTCAATTGCAATCGATATCTGGGTCGAAATTTGTGTTTCGTAAACCTTAAACAACCTGTGCCGGCCGTAGATCTTCGTTTGCGTTTAAGTTTGTTGATCAACTTTCCAGAGTCAAATTTTTGTACGGAATTCGAATTGCTCGTCTGTTTTTGGAGGAGAAGGTAGGTAGTGATGTATGAGGCCTAAGTACCAAGATATCGATTTTAATCTGCGTTCTGGGGTTTGTTTTAGTGTGTGACTGGTGTCTATTGGAACAGTGTCTGTCAGTGTTTGTGACGGATGAAATTCGTTGAATGGAGCTAGAACCTGTGTAATTGTGAGTGGGCTGTTATTGTTTGTTTTGGATGGCTAGATGGCTGCAGTGCACATGGTTGGTTACCTTGGACACGATCCCGCGGATATCAATATTATAAACATCGCCCATCGTGCGTGTGTGCACGCCCCCACCCCCATCTGATAACATGAACTAAGTAAGACTTCGAAAACTTTATTTCAAGGTAAACAATGGCGGTGACTCGATCCTGTATTTAAACATGAATAAAGATATGTTTCTTACAGCTGCCCCTTGTTTTTGATATCGACATGTTCTCGAAACCATCGAGCCTCCGGATCCCCCTCAGCTCCACTCTCGTATGGTCAATTATCCCATGGCCCATCTCCATGTGTATTTTTGCTCTATAGTGTGGAATGGAGCTCAAGGAGCCTTGACAACCTAGTCGTAATTCCAGTCGGCCTCGAATTTCACGTCTCGCCTTGAATTCCAGTGAGGCGGTTATCCAGAGATCGGGACCATTGTGTAGCTTCAGGTTGTGTTTATTCAGTGATGGTACCTAGCCTCGTCCCCAGGCGTTATTGGATGGTACCTGTTCTCGTGATCATGATGGTACCCCGGATCTTGAGAGAAATAACATGTACATACACTCCATATCGTATTTTGAGCTTCGAAGAGTGATTGGTGCACGTGATTTCCATGATCAGAGAATTTGAAAATTTAATTTGAGTCAGTATTCAACTTTCTTTCTTTCTTTCCATGTCCGTCCATTCATATAGTCTTGTGTCCATTCAAATCCCAAATAAATGACTCCCTAGAGTAATCTCATGCCTCATAGGGATTCACAGGTGTTCACCGTACGATACTAATGTTCACCACCCTCTTCCAGATCTAGACCATCACCTGCTCCATGTCTAGTGTAACTCGTAAATTTTGTCAGAAGATTGATTTGAATCCTCTATCCGCTAGGGCCATAGAGATCCATACCACTAGGAATTGTATGTCAACCGACATCAGTCTCATTCCCACCGACACTGGGATTCCGGTATTCGGTGCAGCGGATTAAATCGATAGGCCTTCCGAGGGTCTGGGTACGAGACTACCTAGGCCGTCCAGGGAACCTAACATTGTATTCAAGTACCTAAACCTGTTCAGACAAAGTTTTCGGAAGTCTCCCATATGGCCTACGGTAGCCTAGTCCCCGGCCTACGGGACGCGAGGTAATTGTGATGCCGAATTCAAAAGGTTCCGATCGGAGATCTTCATGTGCGGTGCAGGTGCTAGTCTCGTGACCAGACCCTCGTAGAGGTGCAGGTGCAGGCTCCAGCGGTGTTCCTACGAGACCCAGACTTGACCATCTTCAACGGCTGCTGGATTGGCGTTCGTGCGCGCGTCGAAGTTTTGTACTTGATTGACTCGACTTTACATCTAAGCTTGATGATCGAGATCTGTGAGGACTTTGCCTCTGCTCGAGATGCTCTGGGCGTTTATGTAAGGCTTCTTCACTTCTGAGATGGAGACTGTGTGTTATCGTGCCCAAAGAGACTGTGAGGGGGGGGGGGCGAGGCGCAATAACGTTCGAAACATGAAGAACGAGCGCCAAAAAATCGTTACACACTTCCTCAAACACTTCCTACGAAGCAACCGCACACGAATGTGTACAGCACTAACGCACCATCGCAATAGACATGAAAGTGGTTGAATGGTGTAACGGTAGCACATAAGATTCTGATTCTGTTAGATCTTTCTTGTGACCTGGGTTCGACTCCCAGTTCGACCTTCTTTTTTCCCTTTTTTTTTGGCTTCTTGTTCTAGAATTGATTTGGGAGGTTGGTGAAATTTTGTGTTTTTTATTTGAAACGGAGCATCATGAGGGGAGGGGAGTTAACGACAAGTTCTCATGATGGTGAGTGGTTTTCGCCGTTGTAAGGGGTTTGAGATCGATCGGTGTCGCCAGCCTCGTTATTCTCTGAGTAAAAGATTTTGGCATGTAGAGAGTGGCCGTCAATACTCCACTTCGTTACTCTAAGAATGAGCGCTCATTGTTTTCGTGCCAGCGCTCATATTTATTTACGCTCGAGAATACAACTAGAATTTCATAATGTTGCGACTGGGTATCTGGCTTTATTACTTTGTTCAATGAGAGCTATTGAACTGGGTCCATTGGAGGCGTCACGAGCCAGGAGGTGATAATAAGGAGGAGTGTAATCTCGTGGAGGTTTGGAGTAGGGGGGAAGGGATACCTCCCCATTCTGTATTATTTAAGTATACACTAGGTACATACTGTATCGCAAGGGTTGAAGAAGTACATAGCTTACGGGAATATAATGGGGGAAGTGGAGTTTTTCTCCAGGTAGACACTTGTTGTATGATTCGTTGCGCAATCTAGCATTTGAGATGGTAAATCACCACAAATCACTGCGAGAACAGTAGGAGGCAGGAGGTAATGAGGCGAGGAGGTAAACACTGTTCCAGGATAAACACGCCCAAATCCCAAGGCAGTCTCGTTTCGGTGTGAGACTACCCAGAAAGGAATTCCTCAGCGATGGACTACCCGTTCAGGCAATTGCTGGAAATCCGGGCTAGCGGGCTAAGGGGGGGCCGTGAACAAATGCAAACCCGTGCAGGGTCGGGCTGGGCATTCCCGTCACCTTAGCCAGGCGCCCGCTTCTCGGTCGGCGACAGGGCGAAACCCTAGCAGCGCACTGCGGTCTTGGCCGCAGGGGGGCAGTCTTGGCGGGACCCCCCCCTGGGTATATATTTGCCCCTCCCCTCCCACCTTTGCTTGTTTTTCTTTTCTCTTCATACTTACCTTGCCCATCTATCCATGCTCATAAAGATGGAGAGACGAACACAATCCCAACATTGCACATCGTTGGGCATTTGTGCTTGTGAATGGCCTTCGGGTCACTTCGTGGGCGTAGTTTTTGATTTATTCCATTCTTGAGGATTGGCGACAATCTTCGGGCGGGGAAAGTATGAAGACTTTCGCTTTTTTTCATTGCTGTCTGGCCGCTGTGCTGGATATCAAGGAAGAAAATCGCTTATTTGTGTGGTTTTGATGCTTTGTTTCCTCTCATTCATTTGATGTGTACTATGAAATCTCCCTTCACAAGCGCCTTTCAATTAAGCCTATCGGTGTTTTATGTTTACACGATTCTCCAACGCTCTCCTCTGACCCACATCGCCAACCAATTCTCCATCTCTAACCCGTCCACACTGGCCCTCCGGGAGGAACATACGTCGTCTGTCCCTGCTGAATCTTCCACAGCTCCACCAACACCCCACTCGTATCATCCGACTTGTACGCACCCGGCAGCGCCACGCCCGTCGGATTCGCACTCCCCCCGCCCGTGATTGTGATCTGAGAGCACGATGGGTAGAACTGCGCGCCCATCTTTGACCCCGCGACGTGAAGCCCAAGGATCTCGTGTCGGAGGAGATATTCCTAGAGTTAGACCCCCAGCAGCGGCCATAGTCAGCTCTCGCTTCATTCCATGTTCTCATGGCCAGATGGGGATGGAGAGGATTTTGTGAGTATCGTGGAACGTCTTCATACCCCGTTCGCAAGCGCCGCCGGAATCGTCACGGTCCACGACGCGCCCTGCTTGGCCAGCATGTCCGACCCCCACGGCGGCGTCTTTGACGTGTCATACCCCATCTGGTCGATCTTGACCCACACCGCGCCGCTGTCGCCCTTGAACGTCTTGCACCCGCTCGGGCAGCGCGCGACGTACGTCATGACGGGGCCTGAGTGCGACGAGCCCCATTGGTCCCATTGGAATTTGCTAAAAAAAAAAAAGAAGAAAGTTCAAAAGCATCAGGATAAAGAGTTAACTATTTCTGGGATTTCTGGGGAAGCCGTACACCTGCCCCCCCGCCTTGACGGGGATGTTCACATCGATCGGCACGTTCCCGCCGACATTGCACGTGATGTCCTTACTCTCAAAGTCCGGCACGGCGCCGTTGTCCTTGTATGTGCGCGTGTACCGCACCGGTAAGGGCGTGAGGAAGGGGTCGCTGAAGACTTGCCAGCCCTCGTAGGTCTGGCCGTCGACGATGATGGACTTGAGGTAGCCGTGGGCGAGAGCGGTGGGGAGGAGGGTGAGGAGGAGGAGGGGGGGGATGGTGAGGAGATGCATTCTTTCTTGGGGGGGGTTGTGAGGGGGGATTTGCTGGTTCCGGAGGAGGTTTTTCCTCTTCTTGGTTGAATCCCTCAATAAGATGCCGTCAAGCTTTCTGGAGAGATAAGGTGGAGGAAGATTTAGAGGAGGCGAGAAAGAAAGAGGGAAGGAATTCGAAGAAGAGAATCCAATCAAAACCCTGAAGAAATTACACACTGTGAGAGGGGGAATTGTTTAATCTATATACTTTTTATGAGTGAGTAGTTATACGGTATATCACCGGATTGATACCCAAGTTACCCCCCCCCCCCCCCCCCCCCCCCCAACTTCTCGTTTTCTCCCTATATCATACGGCACTGTTTACTAGGATTCCATCTTATAATTACTGCAACCTAATCTCAACGGAAAAAACGCGGGGAAACAAGTTTAAGCTTAAGGCCTGCAAGTGGAAAGAAAGAGAATTAGTAAAAAATCACCGGGCCCCCCCAATCCCAATTGCAACGATCGAGAGGAAGGAAGGAAGGATGGATCCGGATACTCTATATTCCTAGCCCTAGGAATATTTTGAAGGAACAACAAGAATAGAAAGAATGATAATATATGGCCATGGGCCATGCAGGGTTCTAGGTCTAGGCCTGGGCCGTAACGGCCGCGGTGTAAGAGTTTTATTGCAATTGCCTAAGTGCATAGGATAGGATTGATGCATCATGTGGCCACCATGGCCATGGCCAACTCTTCTAGCCCCCTAGCTCCTAGCCGCTCTCCATGTTTTCGAGAAAGAGAGAGAGAGAGAGAGAGAGAGAGAGAGAGAGAGAGCTACAGGGGGGAATTGCGGGGAACGTTGGGACGGATAGGTTTGTTTGTTTGTTCCGTACCTACCTACCTAGTCATATATAGAGAAGGCCTGTGGTTTGCTTGGGGGGGGATTAATATAAATTATAGATTAAAAAACGGTGAGGCTAGCTAGCTATGACATGCATTGTACGCACAGTAACAGTGACAGTGACAGCTCGAGGCTAAGTGACAGCCGTTGAGCGGTAACGGGTAACGGTAACGGTATCGGGCGGGGCGTGGACGATAGCTTGCAATTGCAATTTGGCGCGAGAGAGAGAGTGCACCGCGCACCTGATGTATGATGTATGTATGCACAGGGCATATTCTTTAATTTATAATGTGGAGAAACTGCCATGGCCAGTGACGACAGGTATCAGGTACGGTACCTGCGTTAGCTAGCTGCTTACTTATGTAGGTAGTTCTAATTTTTTGGCCGTTAGAAAAATCTATAGAATATATTGACGTGTCACATTCGGATGTGGGAAGGACAGCCGCAGTTGAGCCAGGTAGCTTATGTAGGTAGCTAGCTGTAAGCCCATGTGGTGACATGAGAAGTAAGAGCCGGATAGCTAGTCAGAGAGTATGAGAGGGGCAGGAGATAGATAACTAGTCGGATAAGAGGTGAAGAGGACGGAGACTCATGTACTGGAGAAGGATGTGCGCAGAGCCTAGTGTCTCTTCTGAAGAAGAAGGGCATAGATGGGACTGAGGGTACTTATACTTGGAGGGAGAGCAGACTCTTCCTCATCATTATCGAATAGAATCACTCTGCTTTGGCTGCTTAGCTACTACATCTCTTCGTCTTTCTTGCTCTTACACTAGCTATATAACCTACCTACTTATGGAGCTTGAGGAGTCAGAATATTTAGGTAATTGTGGAAGCAGTACTAGTTCGAAGGGTGATAGGATGGGATGGGTGGCTGGGCACGAGAACAGGATGCAAGCTTTAGGGCACGGAATTAAACAAGCTTCAGGTACATATGTACGTAGGCAGGCACAAGACTACCTACCTAAAGTGCCCTACCAGAAGTCTACGTTTTCCTTGGCGATTTTTTCACTTTTGCGGGTAGATAGCGGGATGAACTTTCTTTCTCTCTTTACAACCACACAACACAATGCCATCAAAACCAAAGACCACGCGAAGGGAGCTTTCTCCTGCTACCAGGGGAGAAATTACTGGTGCTTTTAAGGCTGGGGCAATAGTAAAGGATATAGCAGCAATGATAAAAATACCTGTGTCAACTATAACAACAACACTAAAGGCCTATCGGAATGGAAGAAAACATCAAGCCACAGCAAAAAGATCAGGTCGCCCTCGTTGTACAACCATACAAACCGATAGAAGACTCAAGAGAGCTGCTGTTAGCACCTACGCAGGCAGACGTCAATCTTTAAATAACCTCAAAAATCACATAACACCACAAATTTCAACTTCAACCATTAGACGCCGTCTAAGAGAGTACAAAATCCGAAAATGGAAAGCTGCAGGACAAATAAAGCTAGGAATTACTGAAGCAAATGCTCGCTTGCAATGGGCAAAAGAATACAAGCATTGGACACCTGATGACTGGGAAAGAAAAATAATTTGGTCAGATGAAACTAGTGTGGAACGAGGAGATGGCAAGTCTCTTGCCTCTAGTTGGATTTTTCGGTACCCACATGAGAAGTGGGTGAAAGAGTGTATTGGAGAGGAGAAGAATGACCAGAAGATATCACAAATGATGTGGGGATGCTTCTGTGGGGGTATTCAAGGTTCTATCATACCAGTGCATGGAGATGAAACTTCAAAAAAAGGAGGAGTGACAGCACGCAAATATATCAA